TTGGCCGGGCACAGTGGCTCACACCTGTAATCCCAGCACTTTGGAAGGCTGAGTGGGGAGGATCTCTTGAGGTCGGGAGTTCAAGAGCAGCGAGGCCAACATGGTGAAACCTCATTCTACTAAAAATAAAAAATTAGCCAGGCCTGGTGGTGGGTGCCTGTAATCCCAGCTACTGGGAAGGCTGAGGCAGAATTGCCTGAACCCAGGAGATGGAGGCTGCAGTGAGATTGCACCACTGCCCTCCTGCCTGGATGACAGAGAGAAACTCTGTCTCAAAAAAAAAAAAAAAAAAAAACCATAGACTTGAAGAGGTAGTCATCTTAAATGCCAGTTAATGTACTGTATATACACCAATCTCCTCAGGCCCATTTTCACTGAAAGAAAAAAAAAAAAAAGTAAACATATACGGTGCTGATGCAGATCAGTCTGACATTAAGTAAAAGGCTCAATTTAGATTTAACTTTATTATAAAGATACAAACCAGGCCTGTGGCTCATGCCTGTAGTCCCAGCTACCTGGGAGGCAGAGGTGAGAGTATGGCTTGAGCCCAGGAGTTCAAGATCAGCCTGGGCAACATAGTGAGAGTGCTTCAAAAATACAAAAAAAAAAAAAAGAAAGAAAGAAAGACAGAAAAAAATATATAAACATATGCCAAAGCCTATACATCTTGTACAGTAATGGTTCAGGTTTTAGCAGAGTTCCAACGAGGCGATATTATCTTCAAGAAACAAACTTACAAGAAGAGTAAGGCTTTTAAAATCAAAGATAGGTTTCGTCCATTGTACACCTTTTGGTGATCATGCTACTACTATTTGGATTATACTAGACAACTCTGAAAGCTGCATTCTTTAAGGTTTCTAGGATACTCTAAATGTATTCCTTCAGTGAGTTAAGTAATGTCCGAGAAGCCTGAAAGAGATTGTTAATGCAGCTTTTCAAACATACTCAACCAAAAACAGTTTAAGGAAACAAGGGGCTCTGATTCTCATTATCTGTGCTACCATCTAAGGTTTTAAGTTAAACAGTACTTTCTTAACATTTAAATATGTTTTCTACTGTGCAATTAATTCAATTTTGAACTTTGAGACTCATCCAGATATTCAGCAACAATAAAATGCACATGAAATAAAAGATCCACAAACCTTTTTTCTCTAACACTTTTCCCACATAAAGGTGTTAACTCTATGCATACTGTTGGTACCAATAAATATTACATTAATACACCAGTTAATACACCGAGTTAATAATTTTTAACTTTACCTAAAGGAAGCGAATCCCTCAAGTAGCATGGTTTGACATACACATACATACATACACACACACCGTTAATTAGCTACTGCTAGAATAAAAAATAATTTTATCTGTCTAAGGGATAACAGACTTTTTCTTTCAAGTAGTAGCCAATGAAAGACCTCTAACTTGTATGTTTTAGAGAGGATTCTTGATATATACAACCCATTACAGTAAAAATTTGAGACTGTCTTGGCGTTTGGCCAAGAGAATTTAATCTCTGGCAGAACCTGAAAGACCTCATAACTATCTTACCTATAAATACTCTGGCATGGACCTGGAGTTCAAACCATCGAGCATTAACAAAGAAGACGTAAAATAAAGTATTAAGGCATTCATTTTGAATCTCAATGACATGACAATCTATGACTGTCCAATTAATTTTAAATTGGGTTTAAATAATTTCAAATAGGTTTATGTTTAAAAGGAAAAATAGCACTGCTGATTAGATACTTACAATTTTTTAAAAATTCAAACTCTACATATTTAATATTTTCAAAGGAATGTGAAAAGCACTAAACCTAACAAAAATAGTGTTAATTTAGTGTGAGAAACAGATTAGTAATCTGCATCTTCAATAAAGCTTGCACTTTCTTAATTCAACACATGCTTGTTTTTTTTGAGAGGGCGTCTCACTCTGTTGCCAGGCTGGAGTGCAGTGGCGCAATCTCAGCTCCCTGCAGCCTCTGCCTCTCGGGTTCAAGCGATTCTCATGCCTCAGCCTCTGGAGTAGCTGGGACTACAGGCCACCATGCCAAGCGAATTTTTCTATTTTTAGTAGAGAGCAGGTTTCACCATGTTGGCCAGGATGGTCACCATCTCTTCATCTTATGATCCGTCCACCTTGGACTCCCAAAGTGCTGGAATGACAGGCGTGAGCCACCGTGCCTGGCCAGCACGCTTGTTTTTAAATATTTTTTCCTAACATTCCTAACTTCCATAAAGTTAATCTGCTCTATTTAAACAAAGGAAAATGAGTTATAATGCAAGTACAATATAATGGAGGCTATGTCGAAGAACATAGCATCTACCTACAATGATTCTAAACATTACTTAAAACAGCTCCTAATTTGCTTAACATACCAACTACAATGGTGAAACAGCAACACACAATTCCTTCAGGAATATGACAAAGTATAAGCTACAAGTTACATCTTCCCATTTAGGGTTCATTTCAGGAAGCAACTCAGGTGGTATTTACAACAAACAAGTTAAAAATTTATCTCAGGTTGATATGATGTTGGTAAACAGAGGGTGATAAGGTTTTCTGATTTAGTACAGAACTGGAATCTCCAATGGGAATTAGCGCCCCCTGGGGCCCTACCTATCTAACAAGCTTAAAATGAGAAAAAAAAAAAAAAAAAAAAAAAAGGCTTAGGTATCTTTAGTAATTAGAAAGACAGCATACTCTGGCACAAACTCCAGCACCCTAGCTAAACATATGTTGTGTATGTCAAAAGAAAATACTCTTTCAATGTCAAAAGGTGACTGTACTTAATGCAGATCAATCACGGCTCTTTAGATTTAAGCACAACTTGGTGGTATGAATACCACCATGTATTCACAATGTGGTTAAACAAGACATGTGCACCTGACAATCTTGGGAATACTATCTTCATAGTACTGCTAAACAGCAACAGGGGGCAGTGGTTACATGGGCTCACTCTTGGGCCAGACTCGGGGTTCAAAACCAACCTGTGTCACCTAATATCACTACACCTTGGGAAGATACTTAACCTCTCCATGCCTCTGTTTAGTCACTGGGTTAGTGGGAGGATTAAGTAAATTAAATTATGTAAAACTCTTAGTGCCTGGCATAGAGGTTAGGCAAACAAATACTGGCTATTACATATATTTGCTGAGTCTTCACATGGTGGGTAGCATGACCTAACAGTCTTCAAAAAGATATGTCACTTTATATACTGATAATGATAAACACATAAAGCACTGAGTATAAATTCTATTCTAAGCACTTTACATATAACAACTCAGTTAAGCTTATGTTCTGATGTGACTGTTCCCCAACACACTACACACACAGTTGGTTCAAAGCTGGGTTTCTATGCTTTTATGTGATTTCTTCCCTCAACAGAAAGGCTTCTTATACTCTGATGACAGGCATACATGCCGCCAAGTACTGCTAACCAACGCTTTGAGATGGGAGAGATTAACCAGCTAACCACCTGTAGGCTTACATGTGACAAAAGCACTCAGACATGATAGGCCTACTTCAGGAAGCCTCAAAACCTCAGAAGTTGGGCACCACCCTGTATCTAGGGTTTAGGATTGTGATTGTGCATAAGAGTTGGGCTGTTGCTGATGTTATGTTCTCTTAGTCTCAAAAGACCCTTTGGTTTTACAAAGAACAGATCTACACTTTAAACATAATTGAGCAGAATTCACGTTCATCCAGGGATAATACTGAAGAAAGGGGTGAGACAGCAAAGTGTGCAATTTTCTCACTTTCGGTCAATGCTTGAAACTTACATTTTGAAAATACAATCCTATCAAGCAAAATTAATATTTCTCAAGTGTCATATGATCAACTATGTCCAATGTTTACCAAATATTTCCGGTCATATATGTAAAATGCAGCAATATATTGAATGTCTCATACCAACTATCTCAAGAACTTCTTCAAATTAGGTTTAACATTCAAAATAGATACACCAGTTTCTTCTTTAAAAACTATTACCAACATGCCAGCACTTCTGGCCACCTTAAGTGTTAGCACAGACTGAGCTCTTCAGAAAGACGAAGAGATAAATGTAGCTGTCTTTATTTTTTCCTGGTCCTCCTTCCAGAAAGTTAATTTGCTCCATTTAAGCAAAGGAAAATGAGTTATATATAATGCAAGTACAATATAATGGAGACTTCGATATAAAAACTTTCTACCAATGTTCCATTTATAAAGTTCCAGTTATTTACAGGGTTAAGTAAGTTAACCCTGTAAATGGGTTGGTCCCATAACTTAATTACATAAATATTTTTAACAATCAAGTATCTAACTTAAAAACGACAAATTGCACTGTCCTTTTTTTTTTTTTAACAACACTCTCACTAGGAGTCTTCTAAAGCCAAAATTAGGAACGTACCCGGCACTGTGCAGTCAGAAGCCATTACAAGAAAAGCAACCATTTAATATTACCAAATCTAAAATGCTACCTAATTTAACGTAAACGTGCACGCCTGTGTATGCAGCTAGTCCCATATCCCAGAATCTTATCAATTCCTTCCCCCAAACTTGCATGTAATCCTCCCTCAAAGCTCTTGGTTAGGTTAAATTCCTTAACACTCTACCAGGTTAATTGCAACAGCACACGTGCCAAGGAAATTAGTGGTTTTCCTTGTGCTCCCTTTTTCAACGAGCACCTACTTGCAATTAAATCTCTGCAACAAAAAAAGTTCACCTGAGGCCATTCTTCCCCTTTTAAAAGAGGCCCAGATTATTCTACCTGCCTGTGGTCTTGCCTGAGCTACAATAGCATACCTCCAAAGAGGCTGGACGTGCCCCAAGCACCAGCACACTAGACCTGCTGCCAACTTCGCCTGTCACCCCTAGCAGGAAGCGCAACCTAACATGCATACGTTTGTAGGGGTGGTGTGTTTGTGTGTATGTATGTGTTGGGGGGATGGGGAAGTGGATTACAGGAGAAAGGTGACCGAACACTTTCAACTCGTACCAGTTTTTTTTTTTTTTTTTAAATAAGGATAAAAAACCTAAAACGAACACTCTCTCTCTTTCCTCCACCTTTTCCAAGCGCAGGAACCTCCCGCCCCAGTGGAGCGCACCTCCAGGGCTTAAGGGCCCGGGGTCACCTAAGCTTCAGCCAGCAACTGACTTTAGTACTCCCCGCCTTCGTACGGAAAACCAGAGGACGCCCGAAGCGTCAGGCCCACCCCGCGGCGCCGTAGGCCGCGCACCCCCGCCCCAGACCTTCCCCCGCAGGTATGCTCCCCTCCGGCCGGTCCGAGGACCCCACTCCCGCCCGAAAAAAGGGTTCACCTGAGGCCGCCGAAACAGCCAATAAGAAGTGCCCTCGGCCCCGCCAGCCGCTGCTCCCCACCCCTGCGCGACCCCCGGTAGCGTCCCTGCTGCCAGCCCCCTCACGGGTGCCCAAGTCCCGGCCCGGAGGAGAGGCGGGACGACGGCGCCTCCGCTCCCCGCAGGATTACCTCGCAGCGCGCAGCCGGCTTTGTGTCTCCCCTCCCTCCTTCTCTGCAGCCGCCCAGGCTGCAGCCGCTGCCCGATCCGCCGCTGCCGCCGCCTCTTAAGCGCCGCAGAGCTCCAGCGGGGAGGGCGGGAGAAGGGGAGGGGGCGTGAGGAGGGAGGGACCTGGACACCGAGCCCCGCGCAGCAGGAAGCGGCGACACCTGGGAAGCCGACGCCTCTAGCTCTTGCTCTCTGTTTTAAAAAATCTAATTTAAACCCCTCTCCTTTCCCTCCCACCCCTCACACTAGCGACCGTTACGGGCTGGCGGCTCTCGCTCTGGCGGGACCAGCCGAGCGCCCCGCTAGCGTCCCTTGGTCCCACCCCGAGGCCCCCAAGCGCCCCCCTAACCACGCCCCGAAGGCCCGCCCCTCTCGCAGCCCCCGACGCTTCTGGCCCCGCCTCTTAGGCTCCGAGGCGTCCCGACCCCGCCTCCTCAAAGCCCCGCCTCTGGCAGCCCCGAGCTCTCTCTGGCCCCGCCCCGAGCGCCCCTCGAGAGCCCTGGCCCCGCCCCCGCAGCCCCCTCCGCGCCTTTGAGTGCTAAGTCCGTGAAGCCGTGGCGGCGGGGGCCTGAAGGACCGGCAGCCGGGAGAGTCTGGTTCAGAGCGGCCGCCTGGCGCCTCTTCAACGTCGTCCTCCGGCTGCGGCAGCTCGAATCCGCAGCGTTCCCGGAGGGCCAGCGGGGGAAACGACCCCGACAGAAACCCGACCGCGAGGGGGAGGAGGGGCGCCTCGGAAATGCCTCCCGCCCTAACTGAGCGAGCCCCCGACTCCCACTGCAGAGGCTGAGCCGCCGTTTTGAGTCAGCCTCGGCCGCCCTCACTGGCTGCTGGGGTTTTAGGGGGAGGCCACTGCAAAGGTTCAACCTCCGCATGCCGCTCATGGGGCCTGGACTTTTCCTCTCTGCACAGCTGCCTTCGCGGGCGCCTTGTCCCCCCCAGCCCCGGCCTCACCTCTACACAGCGACAGGGCAGGGCTCTCGTTTCCGCTCATTTGGACCGCTCGAGAGTCTTCACTCCCACTTTGGCCCCGGCCTCTGAACCTTAGGAGAACTCACCTCTTTGAGGCAAAAAAGTCGAGGCATCGCCAGGAACCTTCAAAATGAATCCGGGCCCGGCCAAACTTTGCAACACGCAATTGCAGAGCTATGGATCCATCCACAGGTGACACCGGGCCGCCCTCCGCCCCATCGTCCAGACGTGTTTCTCACCTGCTCTCGAAATAGACCTCCCAGCAGTGCACACTTTTCTCTGCCACCCACGACTTCCACGTCCGTCCTGCACACATGTTCTCCTTGGGCACCAGTATACTTGCAAGCACACCCCTCGGAGCGCCATTCTAGTGATTCATGGTCCCTTGGGCCAACCCCACCCTAACACACAACAAACTTCATTCCCCACCCTCTCTCTCTTCGTTTCCAAGGCACTGGCGACAATCCACTTCATTTCCTTTCCTCATCTGCAGACTCGTCCCCCTCAAATACCTCACTCCATCCCCCTCATCTTCATCCCCTCCCTCCTCCCTAAAAATGTGCTAATTAAAATGTAGTTTCCTCTTCCCACACACGAAGTGTGGAAAATGAATCTTGTCTTGACACAAACTGTGATTCATTTATCGTTTTCTCTCTCCACTGGACTAAGGCTATAGAGATTTTAGTGTACCACCATCTCCCATTTGCTCAAAAATCCAACCATGCCTTATTATTTTTAAATACTCTTAACGAATCGTGGGGAAGGCTTCCTAGTTTAGTGGGGGAACAGTGCTTAGAAAATGCCCAGCCTGACATTTTATTTGGCATTTAAAAATATCTGCAGTATTTGAGAGAGATATTGGGAGTGGCTGGATATTTTCTTGCCTTTAAAAAGAAAAAAAAATGAAAAGCTTTGCATGCATCAAGCTTAGCCTTTTTATGAATAGCAAAAAAAAGTATGCTAAGGGAACCTATCAGAATATTGTCCCCACTATATTTTGCTAGTCACAAATCTAGACCCCACCACCGCTACCAAAAGAAGACAAATTAACATAATCCATTTTCAGCACATCTGATGAACAGTCTTTTCCATGAGCATTCCTTTTCTCAGTTTCTGGACAAAATAGATACAAATATCCTTACCCACCAAAGATCCAAAGCTTCCTTCTAACCAGGGTAGTAGACGTACGTGTCTGTGTCTTCTGTTCTCTAGGTGTGGATTCTGCAATGCTGCACAGAAACCCACTGCAGCCTCAGACCAACAGCAGCGGCGGCGGCGGCGGCGGCGGCAGCAGCAGCAGCTTCTCCCAATGCTGAGTAGTAAAGTGTTTGACTTCGTAGACTCCACAGTTACCATTAGGCGCTTGCTTATAAGAGAGCAGATGGAATGTTTCTTTAAGGAATGGGTTTTGTTTTTCCTTTCCAGTATTGCTTCATAAGAGGCAGAGAGGGTGGAATCAGGGAGTTGTTTTTTTTGTTTTGTTTTGTTTTGTTTTTGTTTTTGTTTTTTTTTTTTTTGTTTTTTGTTTTTTTTTTTGAACAGAGTAAAGCAGTACAGCTGTGGGAGGTCAAGGTTAAAATTAACTGGGTGATTGAGGAAGGGAGGCAACGATTTTAGTGTAAGTCAATGAAATGCTAGAAGCCCCAGTTTTAAAAAGCTCTGCTAACTTCAAACATTGGGGTTAATGGCAAAATAAAGCTGTATGCCTTGAAACTGATGAGTAATTTGTGCTAATATTTAATTTCCAATCATCGTACTAAAATGATAACTATGTAAAGGAAAGCTATTTAGTATTTAATTCAAGAGTAAAAAGAAAAAGGAAGTAAAACTTGTTTATGTGACTAGGAGCATTGGATTCAAGTCCTACCTATAAGCATACTTGGAACTTCAGTGAATACCAGTATTAGAAAATACATGATTGACAAATTTCAGTGTGTGCTCATGTGTTATAAAATTCACAGTATTATATATAGAAAAAAACAAAATAGATCTGAAATAATTTTTGGAAAATAATAGCACAGTATTATGCTATTTCAGTGGCAATTCAAAGGTCAGCAAAATTAAGAAACACAAGTGGATTGACTGACTTTAAGTGCATTTGAATCTACTGTTTACATTATTAAAATATGATGTGTCCACACATGAGAATCTGCATTGTAACCTTAAATGTTGTCTTTAATAATATTACTTGATTTAAGCATTGGCCAGCTATGTTTTTTTACTTTATAGGTAAATGAAGAGATGTGATCTCAAAATATGACTAGAAAAAAAATACAGAAAATATTCTGCCTTTGATTTTCTTTGCACAGCCTTTGTTAATTATGTACCTGTGTGATCTTGATGAGTAAATAACCTTATTTGGTTCTTAGTTCCCTTTTTTGTAAAGTGAGGAAGTTGGATTGGAATTTCCCAGGTCCTTTAGCATTCCAAAATAGTGTGATTTTATGACATTCATATTTTTATATTTTTGTTATTTAATGCAAGTATGTCCCGCTCTCAATTACTTTTTCTGAAAACTTAGATTAAAGTAAATCTTTATTGTAAATGCTTAACCAGAGTGTGTTACTTGCCACTATTCTGAAATATTTTGGCAAATTATTTCGTAGAGTAAATAAACTTAATTTTATCTGATTATGATTTTGTACCAACTATGACCAATTTCCCTGAAGTAGGACCCTAATATATTCTTAAGGATACCAACTGACTGGAGTACTATAATGTATGTTATGTAATAACTAAAACATATTTTAAAACTGTAGCATTTGTAGGATGGTAGAGGTAAAACAGATTGTAGAGCTTACCTACTCCAACCCTGTAGTTTTACACATAGAAAACGTGGAAACCTGAAGAAACAAAATGGGGACAGTGTTAGGCACAAAACTAGGGTTAATTATGAATCTCCACTCTTCACACACACAAGGCAAGTAAACTACGCATGAACATACACAGGTTCATATACCCACTCTGGGGGCTGAGCAGGACCTGTCACAACAAAAACAAGTAGTTTCAGGCCGGGCGCCATGGCTCATACCTGTAATCCCAGCATTTTGGGAGGCTGAGGCAGGCAGATCACTTGAGGTCAGGAGTTTGACACCAGCCTGCCCAACATGGTGAAACCGTCTCTAGTGAAAATACAAAAGTTAGCTGGGCGTGGTGGTGGGCACCTGTGATAGTCCAGAGGCTGAGGCAGGAGAATCACTTCAACCTGGGAGGAAGAAGTTGCAGTGAGCCGAGATTGCACCCCTGCACTCCAGCCTGGGCAACAAAGTGAGACTCTGTCTCAGAAAACAAAACAACAATAAAAACAAGTAGTTTCAGCCAATGATACTATTTGTGTACATACAAACTAAAGGAATATATCAAACAACTACTTATAACGTGCATAAGTATGAACAAATTTTGCCGTCAGATTTGGAGATGTTTGTGTTAGAATATGAAGAAATCTATCCAGGGGGATGTTGAGAAAAAACAATGACCTTCAGGGAAACTCACCACCCGGTTAGCAAACTCATGCCTGTCTTCTATTCAAATGGCAGGGCCTTCAACTACTCTGGTGGTGGTTTCCTTGCATCCACGGGTGCCTCGTTTCCTTTTGTATTCATCTGCGAGCATGTCTGCCAAGAAAGCTTCGTTTTGGAGCCAGTCATGGGAAAGTAGTGTAGAGACTTATTTCTGTCCTTTAGAGGTGCTTTTTGGAGGTTGAAAGCTTTGGGCTAGACAATAACATTTTTCCCTTAAATCTTCATGCTATATTCCTAGTAAAGAGCCTGGCTAATTAATCTAAACCCGTTTACCTAGTTTCAAGGATGCATTAGAGTCAAAAATCTGCATTATGTTGTATGACATAGCAAACTTGGTGTTTTGTGTACCTGGCAGAAAATTTATCACCTTGATTTTTTTTTAACGCCTCCTGCAGGGAAAGAATTAAAAGAAATTAGTTGCCCAGTTTCCTTCATCTGTTTTTGTTTACCTTGCTTCTCTGCAAGGAGGGCTTTTTATTTCATCTACCAGGTGGTATTGAACAATGAATAAAATAAAATTTGTATAATTCAAAGCATTCCCCCACACCCCTCCTCACAAATTTAATACATTTCTTTACATCTTCTCAAAGTGCTCAGCACAGTCTCTTATATAAAGGCACTTAATAGATACTTTAAAAAATGAATACACAATTTAATGAATGAATTGCTCCCAAAATATCCAGAAACTGATTACAAAGTGTTTTTATTTGTTTTTAATTTGCATTGTCCAAAACAACTGACTCCATTCTCTACCTCCCTTTCCTAACACAGTCATGATGTAAAAGAAACAATCTCTTTTCTGTAGAGCTCTTTAGACATGCCTGATTTGTATTCTCCAATTAAATTGTAGCCACAAATCTCAACAGGAACTCTGGGCAGATCAAGCAGGCACTTTCTGCCAGGAAAACACAGGCTTCAGTTTCAAAATTCTGGTGTTCCAGTTCTAGTTGTAACACCAACTGGTTATGTGACCTTAAACAAGTTTTTCAACATACTTATGCCTCAGTTTAGCAATCTTTTAAGTGGTGGTGGTGGATTATAATACCTACTGTACCCACTTCATAGGATTGTTGTGAAGTTCAAATGAGATAATAAATGTAAAAATGCTTTGAACTTCTCAAAGCACTGTATAAACGTAAGGTATTATTAGAGGCAAATGCATTTAAAATCAATTACCTAGTTCAAGGGACTTTACCCTAAACAACCTGTTTTACTACTTATTGTTTCAGAAAGTAAACAGGTTTATCTTTCTCTCTTCCTCTCTTTCTGCACACACACACACCCACACACACACACACACACACTTGCTGTTCCCAATTTAACAACTTCTCAGCTTTGAGGATTTTCCCTTGGGTTGGGAAATATGCATCTGCCATTTGAATATGAAGAGCCAGGAATTTATAGAATCGTCTCCCTATCCCACCCCTCAAAATTTACCTTTTTAAAGCTCTCAGACAGAAAAGCAAACTTAATGAAGCACAACAACAGCCTTTTCAAACTATGTAATGTTATGTATTTAATCAGTGGAGTTAGATGAGCCATTCATTTGAAACTTGGCCATACTACATACATTTTGATCACCCTTTTATGCCAAGCCAGTCTGGAAAGTACTTGGGGAACAAGGCAGGGAGAACTGACATGGAATTCATGCTAATGAGTTCTCCATTCCCCAAGGAGACATAATCAGGGCAATACTCAAGGATTCATCAACATATTTTATTAGTACTATGTGACCTATATGGTTTTTTTTTTAAAAGGAATTAACCTCAGCTAACTATCAGAAAGATCTTTATACAACTATTTAGTAATCAAGCCTGATAAACTTCTGAAACTTTAATGAAATATCACCCTTAGGGTCCTCTTTATTTTTGTAAGTGTTTATCCTCATTTATTCATTTTCTATTTGGTAACTTAAAATCATCATAGCTGAATAAATAAGCAAACAACTGCTACAAATAAGAAATGCCTAATGGGAGCCCCACTCATATGTAGGACATAAAAAGTCATATGAACTCAACTTAAGAGTCACTAGTTTCTTTTTGTCTGGTTGTTTTTGAGACAGAGTCTTACTGGGACCTCTGCCTCCTGGGTTCAAGGATTTCTTCTGCCTCAGCTTCCTGAGTAGCTGGGATTACAGGTGCCTTCCACCACACCTGGCTAATTTTTGTATTTTTAGTAGAGGCGGGGTTTCACCATGTTGGCTAGGCTGGTCTTGAACTCCTGGCCTCAAGCAATCTGCCCGCCTCAGCCTCACAAAATGCTGGGATTACAGGTGTGAGCCACTGCACCTGGCCAAGAATCACTAGCTTTCATGTAGAAAACCTTTAAAGTGAATGCAAAGGATGCAATTGCTATGTGAAACCTAAAATACATTAGCTGTATATATATCTTTTCATCACATGGTCATATACCTTCATGCTTCAGCTACGAATCTCTAATATGCGTATTACATGATTTTAAAACCAGGTGTTTTACTCCTTATGACAGTATTTCTAGAATGTACTCAGGAACCACCTGCAACAGAACGCATTGGAGTGTTTCCTAAAATACTGATTAATAGCTGCTACTCCAAATTTACCAAATTAAATCTTTTAGCATGGGAACCTGGATTGAGAATTTTTTTTAAATCTCTGAATAAAGAAGAGAATTGAGGACTTTTTAAGCACCCCAAGTGATTCTTATGTACCACCAGTTCGATCACTGCTATCCTATAGAAACAATGCACTGTGTAGACAGACAGACATGAGTGAAATGCGGGTGGCCCCCTTTTCATTGTGTGAAAGAGATTCAGATAAGGAAATCTGGCTGTACATTTTCTGCTGCACAAATGTGTGCAAAATAGTTAACCTCTCAGAGTCCTAGAATCTTTTTTTTTTTTTTTTTTTTTTTTTTTTTTGAGACAAGGTCTCACTCTGTCTCCCAGGCTGGAGTGCAGTGGT